CCGGCAGCCGGATGTCACCTCGCCGCGCTTAACGGCCCTTTGTTCCTGCCTGGCTCCGTCCCCGCAGGTTGCTTTCCCCCTTCTTCTTCTCGTTCGCAGCCACCCTGGGGCTGGCCTGGAAAGCGGGGAGGGCATTTTCGGTGCCGCAAGAGAGGCTGAGCTCAGCTGCCCTTCCCGGCTGTTTCCCTGGTGCAACGGGAGGGGACGGATGCAAAAAGCAACCCTGGCTAGAAAAGCATGCCCCCGCCAGTCCGGGCGCATTAGCGAGCCTCTGGTCACCGGGGCGGGCCGGGAGGGGGCACCCCCGCGCACGCCAGCTGGGGACCGAGGCCTCGCTCCGTCACGCGCGTCCTGCAGCGTGACGCGCGGCAGGCCCCCCCGCTGCAAAAAGGCTGCAGGATATTTAGTAATAAAAGAACGTTTGGACGAAGCCCACGGCGTCGGCAGCTGAGGAAAACCCCAAACCCCGCGCCGTTCGGGTGCGGAGCAGCCTCTGCGAGTTCGGCCGGGGAGACGCCCCCGTGCCTGACGGACTCGCCTTTGGAGGAGATTTAACGTTGGAATTCCTCGTCGTGAAAAAGCAGCGGGGGCATCGTCCCCCCGCCTTGGGGGGGTGGTTTGAGCCGAATTCCAGGAGGGATAACAGCACCTGGCTCGCGTGAATTCTCCTGCTGTTTTAATCAGCGTAATACGCTTCTCCACGCTCTGCCGTTGCGGCGCTGGGCTGCGCTGATGCTCGCTTCGGTAAGGGTTATCACGCCTGGGCCCTGGAGGGGCCGCGTTTCGGCCAAGGGAGCCCCCAAAGAATTACAGGCTGAATTCCTGGCTGTGCTGAGCCTTCCTGCGTTGCTACCGGCCTCAATGCCAGACAGCATCGCGGCTCCCTGTACTTGGCAGGGCCGGATTCAAACGCAGCTCAACCTATGAAATTCTAAGACCAGCAAAAGTTATTTATATAAACGAGTTTAGAAGTCCTCCTTTCTAAGGAAGAGCTACAATAAAATATTCCATTGGCTCTATCTGAATTCTGTAGTCCCTTCAGCATGGAAGAATATCAAATCCTATGTTTCTTTTTTGGCAGAAAATTCAATTTGCCAAGGGAAATTACGAGCACGCTGTTTTGCACCAGAACTATTCTTGGTCAGGCAATATGTGGTTGAGAAGGGGAATGCACGTGTGGGAAGCCGCTCGGAGACGCACGGGACCTGCTCCCGGCAGCCCCATTGTCCGAACGTGCTCTGTGCGCTCAGAGGGAGGAAGGCCGAGACGTTGCTGCAAAAAGCCAAAGAAATCGCCAATAGAAAGTGTTTTAACAGTAACTGGAAAAAAAAAAAGTCAAATTTTGAGAAATAAAGGCGGCATTTCATACAGCAGATCGCTTTAGTTTGGTGGAGAAAAGCTAGTGGAACCAAACCTAGATTAGTGTGTGATCACACTGCATTATAACAAAAATACACCATAAAAACAGTATGGTTGGCAAAAATGACAAATTAGCTCCAATAACGGAGCTATCAAAGACAGTTACTGAAGGGCTAATTTAAGTGTGTTCTGGGAAAAAGAGGATTAGGAAGAGGCATAATTAAAACACGCAAAGCCAAAAGGGAATAGAGAATAGATACTAAGTCACTTTGAATTAGTAATTCAGGAGAGGCTGGAAGGGAGAGAAATGGATGAATTTACGCTCTGAAAGGGCCCTGATATTCTATTGTTGCAGAGAGAAAAGCTATTCTGAGCAAGAGCGTACTATTATATGCACACGGGAGGGAGATACGAAAAGCATTTAGGACCTGTACCTTGCTATGCAAGTGTGTTTTCCAGGGAAGTGATGCAGCTTCCCAGGCCTCCGCCGTGCCCAGCCCTTCGCCATCCCTGCGCGCTCACGTACCTTGCAAATTCCTCTGCATCCAGGTGCGGAAGCGGGGCCGCCCATACCAGTACGCCGAACTCCTGTTCTTGATCTGCTGCCTCCGCCTGTTCCCGGCCGCTTGGGCATTGGTTTGCTCTTTCTTGTGGCGCTTTATGATGTCATCTAGATCAGAAACGGCAAAGTGGAAACCCATAAAAACTGTAATTTCTACCGACAGCAATTTCCACTTTTGGTGCTTGTGATCAGCCTCTACAAAAACGGAGCTTGCGGTCCTGTGAGTCACGCTGGCCGGACAATAAAAGATTAAGCCTAGCTCAGAAAGTATAGGATCAATTTACTTGGCTCCTGCCGGCTGGAGTTTAAGAGTGCAGTGAATTATGTGAAAATGTGTCACCGTCCAGCCCGTATCTGCCACGTGCAGGAGAGGGATGGCAGACCCACCGCCACGGAGCTGCTGTCATGGAAGGGGAGCACCCACCGCGGCCCTGCACGCGCTCGCCGCTTACCAGGAGCTTGTGGGATGGTCTCCTTTCCGTTCCCAGCTCCTGGAGTCAACACAGCCACCCCCATTGACTCTCCTCACTGCTTTAAAACCCCAGGCAAGTTTCCAGCCCTCCGTGGTACGAGATGAAGCTTGAAGCCATAAATCTCTGTGGCTCGAAACCAGTAAGCAAATAAACGCAACATGCGCAGGGAATATCAGTAGGACTTTGTATTTTAAGCCCCGCAGTCTTCAGGACTTGACTCAGGACTTTCTGGCTAGCTGGGGTAGATGCTGCCACCTCTCACCTCTGTGTCACCATCTCTGGTGGGGGGACAAAATGGCCCGGAATGCAACAAAATGGACCCAGCATGTCCTGCTCATGTCCCAGGGCTCCCCCACCCTGAACACCTGCTAGAAGAGCTGATGTTCGCCCTGCGTAGGTCTATGGCATTTCGCTCGTTACACGTTTCTGGAAAATATGGTCTATTTGGCTTTTCCATGACCTAAGAGATATTACTCGCTTTCTTTGCGAGCAAGTAAGCATCCCAGTGCAGCTCCCAAGAGGCAGAGTCTGAACGAAATAACAAATCTTCAGATCTGCCTATAATTTTTATTTTTCCCATCGTGATTTAGCCACTTTCAGTTTCAAGCTTCTACCTTTCTTTAAAAGGCAGCTCTGGAAGCTGAAGTATCTGGACCATGCACAGACCAGCTCTATACACACAGCTCCACCAAGAAACCATCCCACAGTGGCTTAAAGCCCCTCAGTTCTCAACAAGGTGGCTTGAGATCAAGGGGGTCTTTTTAATTCAAGCTATTCTGAAGCCTGAAGAGGAAAGGCGAAGGGAAAGGGACATCTCATTAATTCAAATTTTCCAACAATTTCTTCTTTAAACCTCAAAACTTCCAGAAAATACTTAGCCAGTCATAAAATCACACCTACCAAGCTCCAAGCAGAAGGTTTTAGCTTTTGCCAAATTAGCGAGGAAAGAACTGTCCAAATTAGGCTTTCTTCCAGGCAGGGGCGACTCCTGCTCCCTAATGAATCACTGGAGTGCAAGTAGAGAAGCGCTATTAGCTTTCAAAGGGTGATTATCACGAACAGCAAATCATACCGCCAGCAGTTGTCACTTGTCATTTGCTATCAAGAAACTCCTGTGTCCAAATTAACACAAGGCCAGGGACAGGGAACAAGAGCAGGTATCAGACTAGCCTGCGTGACTGCTGCTGTGATTTCTCTATCAGGTCCGCCAGGAAGACAGCGTATGGGGAGAGCCTGAGCAACGCCGTCGGTACCAGCGCGCGCTCATGCTCTCAGCTACGCGTGCCTTTGGGACATGTGCTATTTAGAGCACAGGCGGCTTCGAAGCGTACCAGCGGCGTCCCAACCTGCTCCTGGCGGAGGTAGACGCAGGCGTCGAGGGTGGGCTCTCCGCAGGACGAGAAAGAGCTGGGTATGGAGAGGAGACGAATACTCAGCTGCCCGCCCTACTGCCTTTCAGTGGTCTTGTTTGCTTGCTCAGATAGCAGTCTTTCTTTTGCTCCCATAAGCGTACCGTAAAATGGAAAAGGAACGGTGGGCAATAACGTTAAGCTGAGCCTGAGTAAGGGAATTCTTGTAACGTGAACGCTGCCCGTCAGGGCCATGCGACAGGCCTTTCCCAGCAGCCGGTTAGTGCAGAAACTGAGGCGACCCGCGGGAGGAATCGTCTTTTTTGTAGTATGATGCCATTCAGTGAGTGGGTCTCGTACTCCTCACCGGCACAGACACATTACTCCATTAACTGATGGGGTCAGTGTAGTATATAAGGGAGCGCTACATAAGGCTGGAAGGAATTCTCAGAGGTCATTTAAGGCACCCCTGTGCCCTCAAGACAGAACTAATTCTGTAGGGAGGGCCTTAGGCTAACTCCTGCAGTTACCTTTGATTGCTCACTCAAGCAAGGAAACAAACACCTGATGGTAAAAACGTCACTTATAACCAGGGCTCTTGTTCTCCACTTCTCTCTTCTGCCTTGAGCTAGGGGTAGTCTGAGTTGAACGCAGAGGTGGGCTGCAGAAGGCCTGACAGAGGGAAGCACTCGGTGACAGCAAAAACAAGGGGGGGCACCACGCGCCAGAAGACTGAAAAGGGCCGTGCAAGCAGCACCGTGGGAAAAAAAAAAATGAAAAATTACGGGCCAGACCCGTTACTGGAGCAAACTCTCATTGCGCCACAAAAATCAGTTTGCTGATTCCACTCCAGGCTCAGTTTGAGTTCGCCGTGAAAAACGTCCTAGCAGCCCTGACAAACGTCTCGCCTCTAGGAAGCGATGACTCAAACTTTCTGCTCGGGAGCTAACCCCATCAGAAAAGGTGCTGGCGGACGTCGACGTTCCTTCCACTGCGGCGACGCCAGCGCAACAACCCACCAAGATCTATCGCCCAAGCCTTGGGAGTTACTAGAAGAGCAGTTGTTTATGCGCCGTCCGCAGGGCCCCGGCCAGAGGCATGGCCAGCATCCCGAGCGCCGCTATAAATAGCGCGGCCCGAGGACACGGTCCCGTCCGCACCCCACGGAGCGCTCCTGCGCCGAAACCTCCCCTCGGAAGTCACGGCGCGCCGCGACGGCT